GGCTGAGGGGAGGGTAACATTTCTTTATGGGCTTTAAATTCGCGTTTCGTCCTCTCGATACGTGGCGTATTTTATGTTCATTGTTTAATATTTACGAGCGAGGTCACGCGTAAAACAGGCTGACACGAGCGAAACGAAGCCGTGGCCGTTTTCCACGGGGAACGATATCGAAAAACAATTGCTGCCGATAAATAAGGAAAATTGATTCGACGCGACGGAAGGGAGACGCTTAACGCGTACCTTTGCCCGAACCCCTGTTACCAAGATGTATATCCCACCGCAAAAACCCCCCTCCGATATCGAGGACCATACAATATTTACGCTTTCGCCGGCAAATGCATAAATATTTCAAGAACACCGAGCCCTTTGCCACCAGGCTTTCGCGAGAATCCTTCCCTACCCTCCACGACGATCGTATACTACCTATATTCCTGCTCTAACAGGCCGATATAAAGTCCGAAAAGTGACGTAAAGTATCTCTTTTTCAGCGGTATTCAATTAAATGGAAATCATCGATGGATATTCATAGACGAGCTTACGTTTACGCTGAAAGATCTGCGAGGAGGTTGCTTGATATTCCTCGAGCATCCTTCAACGACAAAGAACGTTGACGAAGTGAACAACACGGAAGAGGAGTTGTATGCATTAACTTAAATGCATGCACAGATAAAATTCAATGGTTTGAAATTGAAACTTTCCCATTGGCTCAAGAACGTCGATATAAGAATACGTTTCAAATATTCATAAGGGAGAGAGGTTTCCATGAAAATATCAGCCTCGATGAGCAACAATAAATGCCACTATGTTTGTAGATAGAAACGATTTTCTGTGAACGAGTTTAGGAACGGTTCAGGGTAGTAGGAGTAAGGGTCGATGAAAATGACCCTCGATATTTGTGATCTTGAAGCCGTGAAAATCAATGAGCGGTTGATTATTGATTTCAACTTCTGCTACCATCTCTTTAGAAGAAATTTCTATAAAATTATGTATTAGGATAGAATCGATCTACCATGCCTATTAAATATTATTTAAAATTTCTTGTTAGCATTTAGTAGCTTTTCCATATTCCCCATTTTCTCTTTACTTAAAACAAAAGTGTGTTGTAGCTCGAGTAGAAAGGGAAACGAGAAAAATAGTTGGCTGCCGCTTTCATGCAATGTCTCCGACCGTCCGACTAATTGGTAATTAGGCGACGCGCAATTAATCATGCCTCTTAACCCCCTTCTTTCGTTTCCCCGGTCGAGGTAACCGGGAATCTCGAGTCGAGGAGGCTGGATGTTTAGGTCTATTCAGCATGGCCATTCGTTAATGAAGTCGCGTGTCGGGACGCCAAGTTCATTTCCCTCTGAATGCGACGAGTCCGAGAATCATAATTACTGTATTCTGTACGCATACCCTTCCTGATGCGAAACGCGGCCCACGCCCACTTCTGCTTCACCCGGAATCTCGATTAAACCCATGGCCGAACGATGCTGGAACCGCTGCCACTCGCTCGCATGCGATCGTGACCACGAATATTCTGTTTATACCAGTCTGCCCAAATTCTTGCCCTTTCATCCTGCTTCCATTTCGTTACCCCACACGCTATCGCGACAAGGGATCTTCCATTCGATTAATTGAACACGTTTAAACGACCCGTCGAACATTAAGCTGATAAACCCTAAACACATTCTCTGTTCCCTGCGTTTTTATCATTCAATTTCCTTATCGCTCGATCCTTTCGTTGGATCAATTTCATTGGATATCCTACTGTGAAAATGCGAATGGATGAGGAGTGGATGGGAGACGAACAGCAGATCGTACGAAAGCGGGACTCCTAGTAAATTGGTAACACTGACGCGTAAACAGACAGGGAGCGTATTATGGAGTAAGTAGATTGAGCGGTGTGTAATCAGGCGGACGACGAGCGGACGAGGAGTGGACAGTAGAGGGAACCATCGCATCGATCAAACTGGAAGCGTCTCTCGAATAGTGACAAGCGAACAAGAAACGTTTAAATTCATGCTATATATTGCTAGTATATTTATAAATAAATAGCTCTGAAGAGAAGAGAATATCAACCAATTTTGTCAGAGCAATTTTAATCGTATTACTATCATATCAGATGTAATTAACGCAAATCACGTAACATGAGAGGAAGTTCCTTTGATGTTTTCTCTGAATCGATTTCAATACAAAGACTCGCGGGATACCAATCAATCGCACAACCTATTTGGGATACAGCACGCTGGCCAGTTGTTTTACGAATTCTCTTTTATTCAAGGTAAGCCGCACGAACGTTAGTGCATCGACGTACACCGTTCGACATCCGCCAATATGGACACCTGTGTTCGCTCATATACACGAACGAGAAACCACAGCTCGTAGAAGTATACATGTAGCGTGGAGCAAGGGTGATTGTATAACATGATCAGCAGCCGGTGCACGCCTATAACGTTTTGATTATAGGGCGCTCGCATTTGACTCTGTTGAACCCGATGCCGAGATTTGGCTCCAACTCGCACCCACTTCGAACTGAACCAATCATTTTCAACTGGCGATATCGAAATCGCGATGTGTACATTCGGTTTGAATTAACACGTGTTTAAACATCAAAATTTGCGCGTAAATAAATAACTTCATCCGAGTGAACTCGTTCGATTTTTCCACGCGTTTCGATGTTACTTCATTGTTCTATACAATTATTCGAACGATGAAAGACTCGTGATAGAATTGTTCGGAAGAAAGGCACGATATTTTCCGTGGCTTGTTTCACTGAACGTATACACAAAGGATTGAAGTTAATTGTGCCTGTCGATTGGCCCGTCGGATTTAATTCAAGCGTGAGCCAACTGAAACGGCGTACAAGCGAGCAGCTAATCAACGCGGTGCTCTCCTCGTGTATTTACAGTACTGTCGATTCCTCCTCAGCCTCGATATTCCTCTGCCTCTGCAGCTTTGTATCTCACGGTACGTGGGCACAGAATGTAAATACTCCTGTACACGTGTTTGTACACTTCGCGATGCGTTTATCGTTTACCGGTTCGGGTGCGACTCTGTTTGATTGTAACCGCTACCGTTAGGTTACTGCTAACCTAGTTACGCTCTTTTTTTCTCTCTCTTTTCAAAGTAAAACAAAAAAGATTCACAGGGGAATAGATTGATAGTTTCAAAATTTTTTAACGCGTCGATTATCGCGTTTGTTTCATTAATGGATAATTGTACCCCTACAACATTGGCACAATGGGTGATGCCATACCGTCTATGACATTGCTGATGATAAGTTCACGGATATCGAGCGTCCGATTGTGTCACGGATCGACAACGGGCTATGCATCGGAGCGCAATCGCGCGTTTCCCGATTACATTATTAGAACAGAATAACCTGGAATCCGCACGCACACGTGCACCTCGAGCCGACAAGAGGATTTTCCAGCGGCAGATCCCTTGGGATTCGAGCTCCGCGATTTTCTCCGAGCTACTTCGCGTCTCTATTCTTCCGCGAGGCGCAGGTAAGAACGATATTAGATTTATCCTGGAAGCAAAGCTTTTCACGTAACCTACGTCCGGAAAAACTCGAGTGAAAAACGATAAACGACACGTCACGCGGCGTATCAGGATATCGATCCGATCGTGTACAGAGCCGAGATGCTCGACAACGTTCCTGCAAGTGGATTATCGGCTAGTCGAGGCGGAAAGCAAAAACGGTGCTCGCCGGTGCGGCACAAAAATGTTTCACAAAGGAACGGAAAAGAAGAATAATCGAATCTCGTTGATTGTTAAAACGCGAAATCGAAACAACGTTGATCTAATAACGACCATCAATTCGAACGAAACCACTCGCGACCTAACGTGTTCGCACGCGAAACGATCCTGTCACGACGCCCGTTATTGTACCCTAGACGAAATGATAATTGCGCGTAGAGACGTACGCTTAATCATCCGCGTTTGTATCCTTTCAAAGGTTGATAATACCCGGCCGAGAACTACCAGTCAAACAACCATTAATTTTAATTCTCCGCTGAATCGACCGCTTTAACCCCGTTCGTTGTATAGTCTTTGGTTCAATAGACTCAAAGACTCAATAGACGGCAAGTGGCCGTAAGGTCATGGAAAGTTCTGCTCAACCCTTGGACGTTGAAGAGCTTAGCAAGGTCAAGAAAAAACTTGCAATTCCAATGGTTCGTGAAACAGGATCATAGGGATCCATCAATGTCTGCTTGTTGGAGGCGATACGTTTGCGCAGTGCAAATATCAGGCAACGCGAAAAAACACAGAGACGCTCTATGTTTGTGGGCATAAAAAGTGTTTGATTGCTGCAATTAAGTTATTTAAACATGACGCCCTTTGTACAAAGTGGCGTAGAAAAATCTATTAGAGGAGTAATTTTCATTTCGAAGCGTTTTGATAACCAGAAAAAGAGGGTGGAAAATGAATTAGCATATGGAACCTCTTTAATTACTGAATTATCCTCGTATCACTAATGAACTAATAAAATAATTCTTAGGCGTGTTTCCGTGAATTATAACACGCGTTTACATGAATTATGGGCGTGTAAGCTGCTTATCTGTATTAATTAACTTCATTTGGGATATCTTTCCACGTGAAGAACATTTTTGCGTGCAATGTTTTATGCGATAGAACTCCGTTCTATCATTGAAACTGTACTGGGTACACGTATTTTCACGATAAATCACGAATCACGACAGAAACGTATTAGGGAAACGTCGTTCCATCAAAAACAATATGAATGTATCCATCTTACGAATCCATTTCAGGATAAATGGCCCTGGGGACAAAAACAAAGGGGTCGTGCAGACTCCTGTGTCGTCTTGGAGAAAATAACAATAAAAGGTCAGAAAAGAAAGTAGAAAAGGGTAAATGAGCAGGCATGTGGTCAATTCTCTGATGTCGGGTAGTTGCGCAGAGGACAACCCTGATTGGTCCGTCGCCACCGGTCGGCTGACGCGGCTTGTGGCTTTCGGCTCGACGAGCTCCCCAAGCTCAGTCGTACTCGAACCGCGCACCGGTGAGGACGTCGCGTCGCCCTCTGTTGTCGCGTTCCTTCGTTCGGTACATACGTGTGTGAACAGGTACGGGACATTTACCACGCGAGTCGCGTCACGTTGTCCTCTTTTTATGCGTCCCTTTTATTTTCTTAAATCGTTTTTGTGTTTTACGTTAGTCGATTGGGATATTAGATCATAAAGAACCGGACGTTCATGGTGGAGACGGTATGTAACTTTTCGAACCATGACCTACCCTTTTATAACCCTATCAGTGTTCACTTATTACAATAATAATAGCAAGAATATTTTTGAAACGCATAGCCTTAAACTCCATTCGTACCGTCACGTTGTTACTACTGATTTCGCGCCATTGTTTCGTTTCTTTCGAACTTCGCGGTCGGCTTAACCTATCATTTACATCGCGTTTTGGCTCGCGTAACGAAACAATAGATCGGTCAAAGGAATTGTATATACAGAGAGAGAATCGAATACGATCGTACATGAGGTGTCAATAACTTTGAAATGTAAACTATCATTGGTCAAACTCACCGGATACTCCATCTTGAAAACGACGCCGGGTCGATCCCCTTTGAAAGACGATTATTTCGACACGTGAAACTTGGCATCCCGTTGGCGAATAGTAAAGCTTTTCTTCGTCCACTTGAATTCGATCGTTTCGAAGGATATTCAACGCCATTGAATGTTCGGTTCTATTCCCAGTTTGCACACAAGGACACAGTGAATTCACTCAGTGCGCGCGTGTTTGTTGTCGACGCGAAGCTCTAACTGCGACTATAACACGCGGCGGTAGGGGGCAGTGCGAGAGTTAAATCGTCTTCGGCGTAATCTGGCGGCGACGTGACCTACGCTAACCGTAACTTTTGTTTGGGGACGCATCGGTGTCAGATCGCTCCGTTTCGTTAAACGTTAACTTTTTCTACGCTTGTGTTCTCGTGTGTGCCCACGTTTTCTGGAGTGTACGATACGACAACGGCCAGCAATTTCACGCGTCTAACCGGTAAGTGATATTACACCATATTAATCTATTGTTAGCGTCCTGTTGGTACCGATTTATGAATAGGTGTTACGCTTGCGTAACTTATCTCTCAACGATCGCGTTATTTATTGAACAAGACTATTCTAAACGCCTATCCATAAATCGTTTTGTAAATTAGAAATTTCGTTTCGAACGATACATGCATAGTTCTCCTGGAGTTTCTCGCCGCCAGGAAATTGTATGTTGCGCGGAATGAGACGCCATTTTGATAAGGTACATTACGATACGAAATCCGGTCAAGAATTTATACACGCGTTTTCGAAGTTAAATTAAAACGAAAACGGTTAACGTTTTCCATAACGTCGCCTGGATTTTTATTGCTCTTCCGGAGTTCCGTGTTTAATCGAAATACATGCATATAACCGACGGATTTATGCGGCGGGTAGGTATTTCACGGACAACACGAAATCGAATTTCAATTTCGCTCGCAATATCTTTTCTCGGCCGAAAATTGTTGATTCGAATTGAATATAGAAAAGACGTTCGTTCTCGTCGCGATATTTTCCAACCTCCTAATATCTATGTCGACATCGCGCGCATAAATAATTTTCACCATTACCAATATTGGAAAACGTTCTACCGATACCATAAAATACGCCCGGGGATTATAATTCATCCCCTTCAATATTCAAATTTTTCTCACGCCGATACCGCTGTACTTTTTTAACCAGTCACTCTTACAATATCGTATGAGAAACTTGTCGTAAGAATGAATTTCAGTTTGGTAATAAAAATTTCTAGAAAACATCACCTTTCAGCGTTCAGATAGTTCGTTCGATTAACCGCGTTTGAAATCTCAAAAGAATTATCCATTTTTATAAAAATCCTGAAAGATGCAATCTTCTACTTAGCAGCCACTTACTCGTTCCCTGTTTCCTTCCGTTTCAAACGGAATGGAAGATACACATTAACAGAGGTAACGAGGGAAGCTGGCCTGACGGATTTTTCATTTAGCATGGAAATTCATAATTCTCGACGCGCTTTCACGGTTTCGTTAAGCGATCCGTACCCTTTTCGATGCGCATCCTCCCCAAAAGAGTCGCGTCACCGCAGAAATAATATTCGCTTTGGCGAGCTCAAAGCTTTTGCTAAACCTGATGCTGCAGCCTGATGGCACACGGTGCTGAAAATAGACGGACACCAGCGGTGTGTTGCATCTTTCCGCGGGACCGTTTGGAACGGCTGTTTCAGTATTCTCGAACCGTGGCCACAGGGCAAAAGAAGAAGAAGAAAAAAAAAAAGGAAAAATGAAGGAGAAAAAACGCGAGCTAAGGGGAAGAGTAGTGGGCGCTAATTGGTTAATGCTCGTCATTACGGGGCCGCGGTGGTGCTGTTAAAGAGAATTAAAAATAGCTAGCATCCGCGCGACTGGCACGGGTCAAAAGAACACTTTTCATTCTTTTAGCAGCCTTTATTTTTGCCTTTCATCCCCGTGCCTGTTAATCGAGAATACGAAATATTCGGAGCGCGGTAGTTCGCTAACTGAATTTCACTTGGTCGCTGGATTTTCATGCAAACAGGCTCTCCGTCGCGAAGTTAGACCCGCGAATCCTGTTTCCCCTTCCTCCAATTTGAATTCCGTGTGGTCGTCTACCAATGCGTTCTATTTGTTCGTCGAATTCCTTCTTATCCGTGTTCAGCTCGATGCACTCGTGTATGGAAATCAACGGAATATCGATAAGAATTTCTCCTATTTTTTTCTCCTTCTGTCCTCTTCTGCTCGTTTTTATTTGCTTTCGATTGGTTCGTTATTCGGTCACGCGCACTCTAACCGCTAATTCTACACCCCGTACGTGTCCGACGATTCGACGAGGACGTTTCTTCTCGCGAAAACACCCACCAAGAACGTTTTTATCGTGGTTTTTGTCTCGCGACCTCGCGGCACGTAATCCGGTGATTAGACGGTTCGGACGGTCCTTCCATCGTTCTGTAAACGAATAAGAACTAGGTAAAAGCCTTTTGCCATTTCCGTTACGTGATTCGTCGCGAAAGGGCCCCCCACGAAGATTTCATTCGGCAATACACAACGATGAGTGTCTGAATTTTATTGTAGCCAACCTGGAACCAGTCCGTTTGATTTCACCGGCTACGTCGACGCATTGTTTAATTTCATTCCGGTGTATCAATTAAATTACGCATTTTATTGTAGCTGCCGTGAACTCGATTTCCTGATAACGTCGACTACGTTTCGTACATTTCAAAAGCGATCGTTTTATTTCCTTCGTGACGGTTTAATCGTTTGATTCGTTTCATCGTATTTTTTTTTATTGAGAGCGGATTTGATGTTTCTCGTAACGTTTTGAAATTTACCGGGCACTGGTAATAGCGATTCGATTTTCAGGTCAAGGAAGTATGAAAAATTGATAGATACTTGAAATGGAGGCTAGGGTTCTCCGGCGATTCGTGCTGGTTCGCGAAGTCGCGTGAAGTCGAGTGACTTACACCCTCGTCCTTACTACACGGGAATACACTTACGCGTCGTGGCATTCATTTTCTACTATCGTGAGTTATACGTTGGCTAGCAGGATTGAAAAATTCTCGATAAAAGTGGCGCGTTACATTTGCCACGTTCCCACGAATGTTCTCTAACCGATTCCTGCACAGAATCGAACATTTTTTCCCTTCGAAACGTGATCAATGGGTGACCGAATGTTTTGTTCGGCTTCAATTATTTTATCGTACTCGACGAAACGCTTCTTTTGTCGCGACATTTAATTTCATAGCTTCGGACTGTATTTTTGATGATTCCTGAAAGATATCTCCGGAGAGATTTCCACGGAGAAAAATAGTTCCCCTTAAAAGGGTATTTGAGTAACAAAAGAGATACTTTACGAGCTATGTATTCTGGAGGGATGATGAATATGGAAATATTTCATGCTTAATGTCGGATTTTGTAACGTTGTGTTTGTAGCTGAATATTATCCTGAAAGATAACTGATCTTGATTGTCCCTATTCCTAAACGAGTTTACTTTTTATTAATTACATCAAGATATGATCTATTAATTGATACCTAAGACACAATTTTATTAGAGTATTCGTTGAAAGATATTTTAACTCTATCAACTTGGAAATCAAATTTCATGAATATTTTATAGAAAGAATCAGATGTTTTTAGTACTAGTAGCATTGATTTTCTGTTACAAGATGACTTTTCACAGATTCAATTATGCGAGGTTATTCGAAGGCTGTACTTTGTGAACTCGTAGCTTTGATACCATTCAGGATAATTGGACTTGCACGGGACTCCGAAACGAATTCTAAACGAACCGATCGTTAGCAGAATTTTTTCAATTAAACGATTGTTAAACAGTTGTTTGCAATTACATTTGCTTTAATCCTTTCGCGGTGAAGTTCATTTATTTGAACAACTTCTAATTTCACATTAAATGAACAACTTCACGGATTTAGTAGATGCTAAATATGCGTCAAATTTTCTTTTAATAAACGAGTAGCTACCTGAAAAATAACATTTCCGACAATTGCATCATAAATCTACCACAAATTTCAACCAAAATGTAGGTCCGTTTAGTGGGATCTGAAAAATGTATGGAAATTGTAGTCAAATAATAATAAATTCACGAATTCAATCATGTACCTTTATTAAGTTTTCAGGGAAAAAACGCAGAATAGGAAAAAATTGTAGAAGAAAAAGCTCGCTTCGACACAAAGTACTATTACAGCAAATTATTCCGCACATTTGCGTTTAATCACGATTTCAGACTTCATACAGAAATAACGTGGCTCGATAAAAATGCGCGGAACGTTGCTAGCATGCTTAGGGCACCATAAAGTAGCTAATGTTTCGAGTATTTGTCTCTTCGCGAAAGGGTGTCAGATGGTTGCCAGAAAAATTTGCATAAAGGGATTGCGATCCGAGCCGTTCTCGTTTTTCGGGCTTTCGTAGGGCCCGCGTTGTAGCCCGTTTTCCTTCCACGACGTCGCGAAAATGCAAACGAACACGAAACCTACCATTCTCTCATGTAATTGGTTTCTCGCGAAATGAGACGGTTTTCATTGCGTCGTACGCTATCTTATATCTTGTCGCGATCTTATCGCTAAAATGGCTGTCGTTTCGATCCTTCTGTTCTTCCTCTTTACGTAGAAACTTTTGTTATTCCTGTTATATATGAGAATTTTCAATCAAAGACAATTCAAGATAGTAGGAAAAGGAATAATTCCTTTTCAATTTCATAACTCATCTTGGAATGTCTATTCTGGATCCTTCTCTTCTGAAATGTCGTTTCTTCCCCCGAAAATAGCATAGGTTTCGATAGCGTTTAGTTACCTACCGGTGTTGCACGCGACGGAGAGAGACCTTCTCGCGGTTTTCGCCATTAACCTACACAAACGCGTGCCGGAAGACGGTGCATTTATGGACGGTCGCATAGGATGCAACGCAAACGAGCGTTGTACGTTTCAGTCGCGGGGAGCACTTAAAATTTCCATTTGCTCGGTTGCACGCAGCCGTTCGTATTGGCATCTCGAAACGCTTGTGCACGTTCGAGGAGAGGAGCTCCAGACGAGCGTCGGGAACGCAGACTGCTCGGTGTCCCTTGAAAAATGAAAAAAAGGGAACGAACAGGGGAATGTTTTGAAGCATAATGGAGGTGCTTGACCGAAATACCGGACCGAGTGGAAAGAAGCGTTTTCAAAGGCGATGATATCCGACTTCTTGCATCATCGAGCGGTAGAAAACCTAAAGTACCGGGTAAAAGCGTAATTTTTCAAACGTGTCATTGGAAATTATTATCTGCCGTATAGATAGGTCCTTGTGGATGCATTTGCTTCTTCCTTTATTTCTTCTGCTAATCAGCTATGCACGCTTGATTACGATTTGCAATTATGTTCTACAATTGCTACTTTTGTTGAAATTTGCTTTTGTATTTGAAGAGAAGGAATATGATTACATTGACTTTTCACTGATGGTATTCTTAGATTTTGTTGAATTAAAAAAAATGAT